CCCAACAACCACATGGTGGCTCACAACCATCTGTAATGGGGTCTGGCGCCCTCTTCTGGCCTGCAGGCATACACACAGACAGAATATTGTATACATAATAAATAAATAAATATTTAAAAAAAATAAAAATAAAATGGAACTCACAATGTGAGCTGCCACGTGGGTGCTAGGAACCAAACCTTGGTTCTTTGCAAGCAGCAACAAGTGCCCTTCACTGCTGAGACAATTCTAGCCCTAAGATAACATCTTAGTGGTTATTAAGCTTTAAGGTTATTAAGCTTTAAGGTTGCCCCTCACCCAGACCATGACATTGCTGTAAAATCTGACCAAGGAGGCTGCGCACTGAGAAGTCAGCATGCAAAGCCCGACCTGCAAGTGCAAATCCTGCTGGAGGTGGACTATGGGCTGAGGGCCTGTGCACGTGAGGCTCAGAGCCCAGCCTCAGTTAGCATTCACCCACTCATCCGTCCCTTCGTGTGCTACTCATTCTGTAAGAGTGGGGATGGGCAGAAATCATGGGCGGAGAGGGCTGTCAGGCCGTGAAGAAAGTCTGGCATTCACAACCAGAGATGGTGGAAGTAAATGCCAGTCCTAAGGAGGGCTCAGGAAGGAAGCCCACCCTAGAGGCCTGTAAATAAAATGAGCAACTAAAAGGAGCTCTGGATACTACTGGATCTTGGCACTAAGCAGAAGTACATAAAGGAGGCTACATACTGTTCTTTACTGACACTGGAGAAATTATAGGCCTTTCTTATGTACAAAACATTTGAATGCTCAGTCCTATTGTTGGACCCTAGAGTCCAATCACCGAGGAGGAGTCTCCCCCTGTAAGATTTTAGACAATTCTGAAGCCATTTCTGACAATTCCAAACCCTCTCAGCCTCCGTGCCTTAGTGCTTCCCCTCCTCCCCTGCACGTACTCAGTTCCTGAACAATTACCCACATACGTATGTTTTGACTCAGTCCCCTGGGAAACGGGGTCAAAATGACCTCTTACCTCATCTGATCTGACAATAGTTCTCCAGTCAATTATTGGTACTAGCCCTTTTCGAATAAATCAATCATAATGGTCAAGGAACAACCCGTCTTGTTTCTATGGGGCCTTCTCCTTTAAAAGTAGACTGTACCAGCTAGTCAGGGTCTCTCGGCTTCCCGAATGCTGAGGGACCCTGTCATGACAGAATTAATAAAATCCTCATGCTTTTGCATCGGCTATGATATATGAGATGGTTTCTGGGGGCAACTCCTTCTCGGTTTGGACACTAGAGTCCAACACCCCAAGAGACCATCTCTCACACCACAGCTGATGTAAAAGCATGAGGATTTTATTAATTCTGTCATGACAGGGTCTTTCAGCATTAGAGAGGCCAGAAAGACCCAGAATAGCTGGTACAGGCTACTTTTAAAGGAAAAAGCCACAGAAGCAAGGGGTTGTTCTTTGACTATTATGATTGGCTTATTCAAAAGGGCTACTACCAATAATTGGCTGGAGAGCAGTTGCCAGGTAAGAGGAAACATCTGAGGGTCACTTTGACCCCTTTCCCAGGGGCTGAGTCAAATCAAGTCTCCGGGAGGCCTCCCAACACCTTGCCCCAATTGGGGTTATCTTGCCCCAATTTCTGGAGAACATTCACAAAGACTAATTGTTAGATTCCTGGTTTCCGGGGTGGGGGGGCACTACTGCTGAGAGGTCTCAGAGTTGTCAGAAATGGCTTTAGAGTTATGCTCCACACTGTCAGGAGCATTTCTTTTTCACAGGTGGAAACACGGAGGCCTAAGGGAGAAGACAACCAAGGGAAAAGATCCAAATGCTGTGTGATCATATGACTGTGTTCTGACAAACAAAGCTTGCTTCGAGTCAGAGGACAGAGTTAGCTGTCAGCTGACCAAATCATCCACAGAAGTTCTGGAGGACTGAGGACAGACAGGACAGGAAGGAAGGTAGGGCAGGGAGGGCTCTCGGCCCCTGTGGAGGAAGGCATGGAGCAGGCAGGGGAGGGCTGGTGGCTGCTCTGCTTCTCTGAGTCTTCAGGTTCTTACCTCAACATCCAACTCCTGAATTTTTATTTTTTTGGTTTTTTGAGACAGGGTTTCTCTGTAGCTTTGGAGCCTGTTCTGAAACTAGTTCTTGTAAACCAGGCTGGCCTTGAACTCACAGAAATCCGCCTGCCTCTGCCCAAGTGCTAGGATTAAAGGCGTGCTCCACAGCCGCCCCTGACTCCTGAATTTTTATTGATAAGGAATAATTAGATTAACACTTCACCTAAACCTAGATCTTCTGAACCAGAAGCACTGTCCACCACCCTGTCACAGATGGCCAGAGCTGTTGCTTCATTCTCAAGGTGGAAACGGGGGATGGGACAAGACTACTACGTAACAGAGAATAGATTCCTGATTTTTCCCCCTCACTATTAGCCCTGGTTGGACAGGAACTCTCTTTATAGACCAGTCTGAACTCGAAGAGATCCTTCTGCCTTCACCTCTCCAGTGGAGATTAAAAGTGCACTCCATTATACCTGGCTCACTTAGCGCAGCTAACAGTTACAAGTGGATCAGTAGGGCTCATTCCCTGAAATGTGTTCATATTGGGTTACAGAGCTAGTGAACCCCATTGGCTGCTTCAAATTTAGCAAAATCAAATCCCAAACACCTGCCTGCGAATCCACTCTCCTTTCCACCCAAGGGAGAGCCGAGGAGGCTGCAGTTCCTACTCAGGCTGGGGGATGCTGACTGTGCCCGGTTCTGCCCACGTGTGGCTGAAGCACCAACTAAACGGTGTCACAAAAAGACACATCTGTGCAAAGCTGTTAGGAAATTGAGTGACATCTAATTATCATGAAGCTTTTAAGAATTGGGGCCTCACGCTGCTAGAGAAGGACATCACACAACCTACAAAGAAATGTTGAATGCTTCTTGAGTAAATGATCATCTGTTGTGGCCACACGCTCGTGCGTGCGTGCGTGCGTGCGTGTGTGTGTGTGTGTGTGTGTGTGTATGTATGTATGTATGCACGCGTGCATGTGCATGCGTGTGTATGGCCGGGACCCAGGGCTTCATGCTGCTAGAGAAGCATTCTACCACTAAGCTACACAATACAACCCACAAGTAAATGTTGCCGAAGTAAATGACCTAAGTGGATTTTTTCTAGCTTTCACTGATAATCCTATGAGAAGCTCAGAAAGAAAATTAGGTTATCTTTTTTGTTGTTTTGTCACAGAAAGTATCAGGGGAGAGCACAAACACAGTTCCCCACTAACAAAAATTATTCAGTCTTTTCTACAGAGTGAGCTCCAGGACAGCCAGAGCTGCAACACAGAGAGACCTTATCTCGAAAACCAAATTAAATTAATAAGTAAAATATTTAATTAACTAAAAAAAAAAGAAAATTAGGTTAAATTACTTTCACAGAGCGACAGGTGATTTAGTGACTATCACAGCCACCAACCACACCTCCCTTGTTCCCAAGGAAACCCCGGCAGCAGTTAATACACAAGGGCTGAGCTGGGAGACTGTAAATGCCCAGTCCCAACTCCACCAGTTTAGGAATGGGGGGGAGGCTGAATCTTAGGAGCATTTTAGGGACTTAGGAGACCCCATGTGAGTGATGACTGCACCTTCCACCTGAGGGAAAGCTTTGCCCCCATCCTTGGAGGGGAGAGGAGTCCCAAACAAGGTGACTCGGGTCAACAATGCTGCTGCCATGTGAGGAGGCATCTCAGCCTCAATAAGCAGAGATGCCAGTGAGCGCTTCCCTAAAGGAACCTCCCAGAAGTGGCCTCACTGAGCACACTATAAGATGAGCTTCTGACATTTAAGGTACTCCCACCTAAAATGCTGCCAGCCTGCCCTGTTACAGTGACTGGGTTCGAGGGCTAAGACAAGAGGCAGAGGATACCTTTTGATCTCTCTCCTGGTATCAAACTGTTCAAACCTCACGCCTCAGTCACCCAAATGCTGAGAAGACAGGTGATTACATTCAATCCAGCTTTTTATTTTTATTATATCATTATAGATTAAGAGTCCCTTGAATAACGGTCTTATTATTTCTGACCGAGTTCCTACAAGCAGATCCAAGTCCTTTGTTTATATCCTGGGACTGGGCTAGAGAGGGCTCAGTGGACCTGGGTTCAATTCCTAGCACCCACCAAGCAGCTAGCACCTGTAACTTCAGTTCCAGGGGCTCTAATGCTCTCTTCCGGTATTCCAGGCACTGCATGCACTTGGTGTACAGACTTACAGGCAGGCAAACACCAGTACACAAAAATAATCTTAAAAAAAATAATCAAAACCCCCCCAAAGACATGTCCTACTAGTGCTGGGCCCGGTACGGCAGCACGGAGCGCTCTCCCTGTTTGTTCCCGCTACAATCGATGCCTCCCCCACAGCAAACCCTAGCGTACAGTCAACTCTTCTACAAACACTTCCTGAGCAGAAGGCTCAGAGCCAGCTACTCACACTGAAATGGGCCTTTGGCCCTAGTCATACAAGGACAGCTGCCAGTCTTTCTCAATAGCTTCCAGGTTACTTCTATGCTCGTGTGCATTAGTCTCTGTTATTACTAAATGATTTGGGATTTGGGGTACCAAGGATCAAATATGCAATCTTTAACACGCTAATCAAGCCCTTGATCATGGATCTACATTTCCAGGGCTATACCTAATGACTCTTTCCAACAATCTGTCCTGAAGCCTAAACTTAACACTTTTGTTGTTTTCTAGAAAGGGCCTCATTTAGCCCAAATTGGCTGTCAGACGGCTGTAGCCAATGCTGACCTTGGACTCCTAATCTTCCAGCCCCCACCTCTTAGGTTATGGTATTTCAGGTGTTTGCAGACACTTCTGGCTAAACTTAAACGACTTTCTAGCCAGGTGCTGGCACGTGCCTCAAGGCAGAGATGGAGGGAAATGTCTGAATTTAAGGCTAGCCTGGTCTACAGAGGGAGTTCTAGGACAGCCAGAGCCACCCAGAAAAACCCTGTACCAGAAATAACAAGAACAATCTGAGCACATAACATAGCATACTTTATTTGTTTTTGAGACAGGGTCTCACTATGCATCCCTCAACAGCCTGGAAAGTCACTGTGTAGACCAGGCTGGCCTTGAACTTGGAGTCCTTCTTCCTCTGGAGTGCTGAATTAAAGGTGGCTCCCCACGCCCAGCACATTATTTCACTTGGAAACAAATCAACATTAGGATCATTTGTCGCACATCTTTGAAGAAGAAATCATCCTCAATTCAGCCATTATCTCTTTTTCTTTTCCAGGTGGGGTCTTGCGATGTAACCCAGGCTAGCCTGGGCCTCAGCCTTGAAGCGTTGGGATTTTCCGTGTGCTCCCAGGCCAGGCGCACTGCGCACTCTGCATCCTGCCGTCACTGTCCAGGGAGCCGGCGGGAGAGCACTCCAAGGTCACGGCTCTGCCTCTACAGTAATGTCCTCTCTAAAATACACACAGCCGTGCATAAAATATTCTGTTTTTTGAAGATAGGGTTTCTGTTTAACCCTGGCTGTTCTGGAACTTGCTCTGTAGACCAGGCTGGCTCCAACTCACAGAGTTCCACATGGCTCTGCCTCCCAAGTGCTGGGATTAAATGCGTTTGCCACCACTGCAACACTGCACCACCGTCTGTTTTTTTCTTTTTTAAACAGATCATCTGTACCACATCCAAAGCATTCTCATGGTCACACGCTGTGTTAGGAATTCTGGTCACTCAAATACTGGGGACTTGTCTTTCTTCTCTAGATTAGTGAGGTTGGGCTATTTTACCTGGAACACGTAAATCTAATTTCTGAATTAGAATACCATCAGCACATCTGGATTATTACACAGTGGATTATTCTCTTTCCTTTATACTAAACTATATACATCTATCGTTTCAGTGGTTTTTTGTTTTGTTTTGTTTTGTTTTGTTTTTGTTGTTTTTTAGACAGAGTTTCTCTGTAGCCCTGGCCTGGCTGTCCTGGAACTTGCTCTGTAGACCAGGCTGATCTCAAACTCACAGAAATCCACCTGCCTCTGCCTCCCAAGAACGGGGATTAAAGGCATGAGCCACTACTGCCCGGCCCTATCCTTGTTCTTTTAAGATGAACTCTTTAAACCGGCGGTAGGGGGACATGCCTTTAATCCCAGCACTCAGGAGGCAGAGGCAGGCGGATCTCTGTGAATTCGAGGCCAGCCTGGTCTACAAGAGTTAGTTCCAGGACAGGTTCCAAAGCTACAGAGAAACCCTATCTCAAAAACAAAACAAAACAAAACCAAAAACAACAACAACAAAAAAGATGGACTCTTTATTACCCAGGCTGCTTCTTAATTCTTGGGTAAAAACAATCTTCCAGCCAGGCAGTGGTGGCGCACGCCTGTAATCCCAGCACTGAGGAGGCAGAGTTAGGTGGATCTCTGTGAGTTCGAGGCCAGCCTGGTCTACAAGAGCTAGATCTAGGACAGCCTCTAAAACTACAGAGAAACCCTGTCTCAAAAAACCAAAATAAATAAATAAATAAAATCTTCCTACCTTTCAAGTAACTGAAGCTACAGGGGCTTATGACTTCTCAATGCCTAGTGTGTGTGTGTGTGTGTGTGTGTGTGTGTGTGTGTGTGTGTGTCTTTTATTGTTTAGATGCAAGAGATAGATCCCAGGGCCTTGTGCATACTAGACAATCACTAACCACTGGACTACATCCCAACCAACAAAACAAGCATTTAAAAATAAAGTTCTATCCAACGGGTATGATGGCAAAGGCCTCTAATCCTGGCATGTGTGAAGTAGAGGCAGGAGGATTCATTTAAGTCTGGAGTCGGCTTGTTCTACATAGCAAGTTCCAGGCCAGTCAGAGAGACACAGAGAGAGATGCTGCTTCAAAAATAATAATAAAAAATTAGACAAAATATATTATCAAGTAACTCTGCTGAAGAACAAAAGGGCTCGGCAATAAACGGATGGAGGTGGGGAAGGAGTGGAACAGGACACTGTATGGCTATAGACAGCCTGGTCATAAAACACCAACAAGAGGCAGGCATTAGTGGTGCACACCTTTAATGCCAGCACTGGGGAGGCAGAGGCAGGCAGATCTCTGTGAGTTTAGGCCAGCCAGGACTACAGAGCTAGTTCCACAGATAGGGCTAATGGAGAAACTTTGTCTTGAAAATAGAAGGAAAAAAACCAAAAACGGTCCCAGGGAAGAATACCTGGAGGAATGCTGTAAGGGGGGCAAGGGAACAAGTCATGGCTTACGTGCCAGCCTGGGGTATCTGAGAAGGAATGACCCACAAGAAAGGTCCCAGGCTCCTTGGGAGAACTGGCTCCTCCAAGCCGATGTAGCAGGAGCAGAGACAGTGGCAGTCAACGGATGAAAGCTAGACGCTACCTATAAACTCAAGAGAACAAATGCTTCTTGAGTTTGTAAACTTGCACTCGTAAATACAACCCTCAGAGCAGAGCTCAGTGCGCCCTTCCGAGAGTCCTTCTTCCCCTGGAACCAGTGCCGTTAAACAGGAGGGTACCACATGCCATTCTCCAGAGCAGGGCACTGCAACAGCGGGCTTCTGAGGACATGAGGGGGAGCTGCGGCAGCTGTGCGCCTCAGGGGCGGAGAAGGAGCTTACTGAGGATTGTGTCATAGTAAGGACAGAACACCATCTTGTTATAGTTGACCAGGCGCACAAATTTCACTGCAATTTCTTCCAGCTCTTTCTGAATGGGACCCAAGCCCCCTGGCACCGTAGGCAGTAGCTTCTGATGACCAGAGGCAAGGTATGTCTCCAAGAACGTCAAAATTCGGGACTCTGTGGTGGAAAGAAGAGTGATCAGGGGTGTCTCCTTCAGGGTGACGTTAGACAAGTCTGACTAGGTTTCAGTTAGTTGACTTATCACCTTCTAGGGGAGGTCTTTCCAGTCACCCCTAGATCAAATCTGCAGAACTTTGCATTTCAGTGGGAAGAACACATAGGCACACAGGGAGGCTGCAGCATTGACAGGACACTAAGGCCAACAACTGGTCATGGCCACAGGGCACACACACAGAAAGAAAAGTAAAGCAGGAACAAGTTCAAATCTGGGGCTGAAGAGATGGCTCAGCCCTAAGAGCACTGACCTTTGAACACACACACACACACACACACGCACACACACATACACACACACACACACACACACACACACACACACAAATCTAAGCTGGGCATGGCAGCACCACCTTTAAACCCAGCAGAGGTAAATGAATCTCTGTGAGTTAAAGACCAGCTAGACTTACAGAGACCTTGCCTCAATAAACAAACAGAATCTTAATATGCAGCTCCATGGTAGAGTGCATGCCCCTGGGTTCAACTTCCAAAGCTGAGAAGGTCAGAAGTAAAGAGGAGGAAGAGAAAGGACAATGGAGGAGGATTTCCCACTAACTTAAGCTGTTTTACCCTCAGCACTGTTTCCTTCTGTGAGGCTCACAGTGGAAGACCACACAAGTGATCTAGTTGATACTTTTTTAGTAATTCTAGACATAAACAGATTTTTCAAACTGCCTGCCTTTTGAACTGGGCTATGCTCTCAAGCAGGAACCCACACCAACACTGGCAGCTGCGTATGACTTCTCTCTATTCCTGCGTATGACTCCTCTCTATTCCTAAAGGGATCAGTTATCCAAGGCTCCAGAGCTGGAAAGCCCATCTGGAAGTGGAGGTCTGCTGTGGAATATTAATTACTTTAGTTAGGCAAAGAGAAGATGTGTTTCATTTGTTTATGCTGCATTTGTTTAACTACAAAGATGTGTTGTTTTGCCTGCCTAAGGCACCTGATTGGTCTAATAAAAAGCTGAATGGCCAATAGCTAGGCAGCAGAGGGATAGGTGGAGCTGGGGGGCAGAGAGTAGGAAGAGGAATCTAGGCTCAGAATGGGAAGAGAATGAAGGCGAATGAGAGGGAGACTCCGGGGGCCACTCAGGCAGCCACCAGACAGACATACAGAAGGAAAGAAAGGCAAAAAGGCCCAAGGCAAAAGGGAAATGAAAAAGAAACAGGTTAAATACAGTTATAAGGGCTATCAGGACAAGCACAAGATAAGGCCGGGCATTTCACAGCTGATAACAAGTCTCCGGGTCATGATTTAGAAGCTGGTTGGTGGCCCCCCAAAAAGCCTGCTGCAGAGGCAGGTGTCACTGCCACCAGGACCGTGTCTGTAGCTGGTGCTGCTGTCAGGAAACATGGAAGATGGAGAGACAAGGGCAGCATGGCGGCTTCAGGCTGGGCCTTCCCTGCTTGAGTACAAAGCTCCATGATTTGCAGAAGCCTTCTCCTCAGCAACCCACAGATTACACTGTGGAGAAAGCAGGCTTGACGAGAACTATCTTCATTTTTAAAAAATTCACATTATTTATTTTGTATGAAATATTACTGAGTAACAAGGATCTAAGTCAAGGCCTGTGACACTAAAGTTGGAATCTTATGATTCTGATCCTTGCCCGTCCTTCTAGATAGACTATCACACTGGTGTGACCTAACCCGCTCCTAAGCCAGCAGCACTCAACAGCATAATCCACCAAACCCTCTAGAGTTTGTTGCTATAGCTGTTATTTGGTTGGGTTTTTAATTTATTTACTTGTTTGTTTGTTCATTTATTGTTGTTGTTGTTTGTTTTTGAGGCAGGGATCCTAGCTATCCTGGAACTCGCGCTGTAGACCAGGCTTATCTTGAACTCACAGAGATCCTCCTGCTTCTGTCTCCCGAGTGCTGGAATGAAAGGCGTGTGCTACCACTGACGGGCCTTTGTTGGCTGTTTTGAGGCAGGGTCTCTTTATGGGGTTGGCCTACAACTTACTGTGTAGAGCAGGCTGGCCTTGAATTCCTGAGTGCTGGGTTAAAGGCCTGCACCAAATATCTAGCCCTCTCAGTTTTCTTCTGAGAACCTGTCTTCCAGCCCCTCTCTCCTGTTGTTTTTGCTATTGTTATCTTTTGTTAAATTTTATTTTGTTTTTAAATGAGCTATACATTTCCCCCCACTGACCTTCTTTCCTCCCTTCTCCCCTTTTACCCTCCCCCATTGGAGGGGTCAACACAAGCTAAGATTTTCTTGGAAGAGGAACCTCAACTGAGAAAATGCCTCCATCAGATTGCCTGCAGGCAGGTCTGAGGGGCATTTGTTTCTCTGTGTGTGCGTCTCTGTCTCTCTGTCTCTCTCTCTTTCTCTCTCTCTCTCCTCAAGACAGAGTTTCTCAGTGCAGTCCTGGCTGTCCTGGGGTTCTCTGTATGAAGCTAGCCTCAAACTCAGAGATCACATGCCTCTGCTCTCCAGTGCTAGGATTAAAGGTGCACCATCAACCCTGGCCATTTCTCGGTTAACGATTAATGTGGGATACCCCAGCAAACTGTGATTGGTGCCTCCCTGAGAGGTAGTCTTTGGCTATATAAGAAAGCAGGCTGAGCAAGCCATGTAGTTCAAGCCAGTAAACAGCATTCCTCTATGGCTCTTGCTTTAGTTCCTGCCTCTAAGTCCTTGCCCAGAATTTCTGTCCTGACTTCCCTCAGTGATAGAGTGGGACCTGACAATTCTAAGACGAACTAAATCCTCTTCTTCCCAAAGAGGCTTTTGGTCATGGTATTCATCACATCAATAGAAAGGAACTAAGACACCCTCTGAGTGACTGTCCCCCAAACGTACCCACAATCCTGCGAATGGGGTCATCAGGACTGGCCAGGGCCTGAACCTGACCCTTGAGCACAGTCTCCTTATTGGTGGAGAATGGGGAGGATCCACATAGGGAGAGGCAGCTTCTCACCTCCAGGCACACTTTCTCCCCAATGGAAGTCAGAGCATCCTCCAGATGGAAGGAACTAGAACAGAGAAGGAAAAGGGAGCTAGGAAAACAAAGGCCTCATGATACAAAGTGCTTATCACTTGCCCTGTCCTGGCAAGATGGACAGCACTGAGTTTTGTGGGGACTGTGGCTTTCTTCCCTGCTCCTTCACCTCCTAGACTGTGCATCCCTGGCTAATCATACCAAGGTGGATCTTGTTTGTCTGTCTGTTGACAGGGTCTCATGGAGCTCAGTTCGTCTACAACTTACTATACAGCTGAGGACAACCTTGAACTTTGGATGCTCCTGCCTCTGCTTCCCAAGTGCTGGGATTACAGCTGTGAGATACCACATCAGGTTTGATAGCACTGGGGATGAGGGCTACGCGCATGTTACACACATACATGTTAGACGTGCACTCACCAACAGAGCTACATCCCCAGGCCTCAGAGCACGAGGTCTTGCTCATGCCAATGTGACAAAGTAAGCTTGGGACCGACTTATATCTTCCAACACCTCAGAGGAACACACAGAAACCAGAAATTCGGTAGCTACAGGACAAGAGTAGGGATAAAACCCTTTCATTGAGTCCTCCTTTGCATCTTGGTTTCTTTTCCCCATGTGGAGATCAAGCCCAGAACCTCATTCATGGTAAACACTCTGCCAAGTGTATGTCTCCAACCCTCTGCACCTGCTTTGTTTGGGTTTTTTAGACAGGTTCTCAGGTAGCCAAAGTTAGCCATGAATTCCTGGTCCTCTTGTTTTACCTTTTAGGTGCCGGGATCACAGGTATTCACCACCATGACCAGCTTACATTAGATATTTTTAGAAGAAACAATCCAGAAGAAAAAACAAATATCCTTGCCTCCTTGGGAGGAGCTGTGAGACAGGCTTCTGCTGGTGCCCCTGTGGGTGCTCTCTTCCCAGCTGCTGACTCACAGCTGTCTGTGGTTACAAAGCAGCAGTCTCTGGGTCAAGAGCCTCTGTCCTACAGGACTCCTGGAAGTAGGAAGCAAGGCCCAGGACTCGCTGCTGCTGCTGCTCCATACAGCCCGAGCAGCCAGTGCTCCCAAGGAAGTCTGCTCTGGCAGGAAATGGAAGGGACAGCATAATGCTGAATCTGGGGACAGCATCAGGTTAGGCCTCAGATCAGCAGTGTCCTTGGCTGAGTCAACCGTCTGTCACAGTGTCTGAATATGGCCCACATGGCACTGACCACACCTACACACTGTTCAAACTCAGTAGTACAATCTGTTCCTTTTGTAAGGATGAGCCAGTGGTGGCTCATAACTTGAATCCCAGCACTCAGGAGGCAGCGCAAGCAGGTGGATCTCAGTGAGTGTGAGGCCAGCCTGGTCTACAAAGTGAGTTCCAGGATAGCCAGCGCTACACACAAAAAAAACCAAAACAAAACAAAACAAAAAACCAAAAGAACCCTGTCTCAAAAAACAAAAACAGCCAGGCGGTGGTGTTGCACGCCTTTAACTCGGGAGGCAGGGGCAGGCGGATTTCTGTGAGTTCGAGGCCAGCCTGGGTTACAAGAGCTAGTTCCAGGACAGGCTCCAAAGCTACAGAGAAACTCTGCCTCGAAAAACCAAAACCAAAACCAAACAAACAAAAACAAAACAACAACAAAGAACAAAAACAAAACCAGTAAGCTCCCTCTCTTCCTGCTGCCTGTGAATCTAGACGTAGAACTCCTGGTTCTTTTTCCAGCACCATGTCTGCTTGCATGCTACCATGCTCCCCCGCACCTCCCATGATGACAGTGGACAGAACCTCTGAACTGTAAGCCAGTCCCAACTAAATGTTTTTCTTTGTAAGAGTCATGTCTCTTCATAGCAGTAGAACCCTGACTCAGAGAGCTAAGGAGGTTGGGGTGCCTCTTAGAATCTCTGCATGAGGCCTTGTCAAACCCAGGGCTTCCTGGAACTATTCAAAGCTACCCTCTGTGCTGTGAATCATGGGAGTCACGTCTGGCTGTATCCAGGGAGCACCTGCTAGAGATTTTACAATGTGAGGTTTGAGACATGATCAAATGACACATTCTCGTGGCGGGCACACTCCTAGGAGGTGTGTGCACAGGGCAGGGAGGTCATGTTATGGGTGTGCCCTGGAGGGTAAAGTTTGTTTCTTCTGAGATCTTTCTTTTCCAAGAGCCACACTGGACCAACTGGTTGTCCTGGGGCCAAGGCATAGGTTACATTGGTTTTGTAAGGCTGTGGTTTTCACTGCAAGTTGGCAGTAAAAGCAATTCAGTTGGTGGAAGTCGGTAGGGTGTTTTGTTTATTGGTTGGTAAATAAGACTAGGTTAGAAAGAAAGAGGTTAACACAGGGTAAGCTCCACTTTGGGAGCCGGCTATTCAATTCCGTGTGCGTGAGAGTGTACTGGATTCAGCAGAAACTGAATTGCTCACTGTGGGTCCTGAGCACAGACATCTGGAACCACAATCCTAAGAGTCTTATTAAGTCTACTGCTCCCTAAAACTTAGGGCATGACAGCCATGACTGAACTGCAGGTAGGCAAAACCTTTTCTAAGCTCCTCAAGGCCTTGCACCGGGAAACTCCCATGGTGCACTACAATTCCATCCACTGTAGGGTCCCAGCCACTTACGGCAGATGCATGTCCATTAGCAGAATCTTCACTGTCATCTTGAGTTTCTCAGCAAAGTCAGCCTGGCCAGAGATTCCAGGTGCAGCAGTGCTGAATGTGACGAGGAGCACCGCTCCCAGGACCGCCAGCTGCTCCAGCTGCAGTTGGAGCTCTTGGAAACGAGACTGGTCCATCAAAAGGGTCTGCAATGAACACACACGTCACCGCCGAGCAGAGACTCACGCTGGCCAGCAGACGGCAGTGGCGCCACACCTCCGCCTGCTCTGTGGAGACCTTCCATCCGTCATTCCTTTCGGGGACGGCAGAGCTCTAAGCATCCGCTGAGGCAGGCCTGGAGACAGATCCTGACTACTCCTTCACAGCAGTGTGACCTCAGGCAAGCTTCCTTTACTCTCTGAGGCTATGCAAAAATCGGGTTCTCTTTGTACAGCTCCTTGAAAGATGAAGAAACCCAACCAGCAGGGGCGTGGCTGAGAGCCACAATTTTAGTAGAAGGTACAGTGGTAAGCAGGGAAGATGGAGCTAGAGTGGCCAATACCATCCCATGTGTCCAGGGCCGATGGTCCCAGATTTGAAAGGTAAACATCCAAATCCTGTTACCCTATCTTTGTCCCCACAAACCAGGAAGTCCCCCGTGCCGACGAAGGGGAGGAGTTCCTTGAAGCAGAGCTTACGATTATTCATCTTAGTACACACAGCACAAAGGAGACTGGCACTGGGCAAGCTGGGCACGGTGGCTCCGCCTCTAAACTCCACCCTCTGCCCGTCCACAAACACACTCAGAAGGCTGAGTCAGGAGAACTGCTGAGTAGCAGGCCAGCCTGGGATACGACAAACAACCAATAACAACAACCACCTCAGTTAGGGAGAGAAAGAAGACAATAAAAAATGACAAAGTGAGCACAACTGAGGGCCACACCCTGCCCCGAACGAAGGTGGACTGCCTCTCGCATTAAAGAACAGTCTTTTCCTGCCAGAGACACCAGAGTTAAAGAGCCCAGATCCCAGCTACAGGAGCCGGCGAGGGCTGAGAGAAGAGCAGCAGGAAGGTTAAGTGGATGTTGATTGATTCAGTTAAGAGGTTTTTGATTGTTTTCTTTTCTTTTGGAGGATTAGGGGGGTATGGAGACAGGGTCTCACCATGTAGCTCTGGCTGTCCTGGAGCTTACATTGTAGATCAGGCTGGCCCTGGACGCACAGAGATCCACCTGCCTCTGCCTCCAAAGCACTGGGATTAAAAATGTGCACCACCACCCACACCTGCCTTAGATCTGAGTTTTACAGGCTAATCAAACAAGCTTTAGAAACCTGCTTTTCTGTAAGAAGCTAATCCAAAATATTGGCAATTTAGGGTCAAACCAGATGGAGTGGACTACGTTTGTAACCTTGGCATTGGGAAGGCGGAGTCAGGAGGACCAGCTAGAGTTTGGGGCTAGCCTAGGCTGTAGTGTTGAAAAAAAAAAAACAAAGCAAAATGGAGTCAGAGCCCAAACTTCTTAGCAGATAAACTATCTCTGAAGACTGCAAGGCCTCCGTCATCAACAGCTTTGCTATAACAGACTTTCCAGTGGCCTCTGTCTCATTGCTAATGTGACTATGACTGTGATACCACTTGACTTGGGCAGGACCTGACTTAAGGATGCAAAAGCTCTCCACGACTAAATGCCAAGAACAGATGTGCAGTCCCAGGGAAAACCACCAAGAGCTTTCCTGCCGCTCCCCAGAGCCACACTTTCCAACAAGCCAGCAGCACCCTGAGGGCCCGCTCACATACCAGCAGGTAAAGCTTACAGCTTCTGAAAGAAAAAAACAAGGAACACGAGACAGAGATTCATAGATGCTGCAAGGGCTAAAGCTAGAAACAGGAACAGGGGTCCTCAAAGAAGACTGAGGAAGCCACACACCAGATTAGTTATGCCAGAAAAATGGAGACTCCCTCACCACTCTTCCCTTGGAATGACTACTGCAACTACAAGTACTCAGAAAAGCCCTGGATACGGCCAGGAGAGCTGAAGCTACAGTGTGCACAAGATGCAGTGCGGAAAGAAGCTGGATGCACAACAGCCAACGTGGAAACAGTCACAGTGTTTGGCTGAGAAGGAAACACAGTGTGTGCACACAGCGGGATACTGACATGACTGCATGGATGAGCCCTGAGAAGGAAACGCAGTGTGTGCACACAGCGCGATACTGACATGACCGCATGGATGAGCCCTGAGAAGGAAACGCAGTGTGTGCACACAGCACAATACTGACATGACCACATGGATGAGCCTTGAAGGAAGACATCGTGAGAGCAAAGTCAGACACAAAAAGATAAATGCGGCATGATTCTACGTAAAGCAATAGGACAGACTGGGCCTGTTATCATAGCACTGGGAAGGCTGAGACTGGGAGTTTAAAGGCAATCTGGGCTACATGAGACCCTGTCAGAAAAAGCCAAAACAAATAAGATAAAAACAAAGTCTCAGAGTGATGAAATGCACAGATTTGCAGTAAAATGGTAATTGCCAGAGCCATGAGGGATTAGATTGGGAATTTCTGTCTGCCTTACTTTTTATTGCTGTGAAGAGACACCGTGGCCAAGGCAGCTCATATAAACAAGCATTCAACTGGGGGCTTACTTATAATTTCAGAGGATTAGTTCATTATCATCATGGTGGGAAGCAGACAGGCATGGTGCTGAACCAGGAGCTGAAGACACTGGGCCCGGCATGGGCTTCTGAAATCAAGCTCAATGGCTCAGTTGTGGAATAATCTTTTTGTACACGATGAAGATGTCACTCTAATTGGTTTAATAAAAAGCTGACTGATCAATAGCTAGGCAGAATTTCCAGACTCAGGGGACACTAGAAAGAAGAAGGGCAGAGATGCCAGGAGAGGCAGAGTGAAAGTGGAGTGATCGGACGTTTAAAAAAGGAATCCCACACTAGCTCAGAACTAAGAAATAGGCTGGTGTTTATTAAAAGGTAAAATTTACAAAGTCAGGATTCTCTGCTTGAACGACAGATAAAGATCAGATCCAATGCAAACTGAACAACAAATGGGGTCCAGGGGAAAACAGAGAGGAAGGGGCTGAACACGCTTCCATATCCAAGTAAATAGTCTATGAGGCCATGCCCCAATATGTGGGTAGTTGCTAGCTATACACCTTCCGGCAGCTGCAGAGCACGCAGGATGGGAAATGTGGAGATGAGGTAATAAAGCCATGAGGCAGAAAGTAAATTAATAGAAATGGGTTAATTTAAGTTATAAGAGCTAGCTAAAAAACAAGCCCAAACTATCAGTCAAACTTTCTTCTCTTCTCTTCTCTTCTCTTCTCTTCTCTTCTCTTCTCTTCTCTTCTCTTCTCTTCTCTTCTCTT